CAATAAAATCCAGATCCTAAAAATGTACACTAGTTTTTTTTTTTTTAAAGATTTATGTATGCATACAAGAGCTGGGGTGTAGGCCAGAGGTGTGAGGGGTGAGGAGATTCACCAGAGACAGAGTGGGGAGCAGCACAGGCGGATTGACTGAAATACACTGCTGAGGCGAGTAGCAGGCAAGACAGAAGAGGTCTGTTGCGCTATGTGGGTCAGCAACCTGGCTGGGGATCGAACTTATGCTTCAGTAGCTGTGGATTGCTTCATAGTGCTGACTCTTACCCCTTGCGCCACCGGGGAGGCCCATACTAGTATAATTTTAATGCATTTCTAGACTTTTAGGAAAGTGAGGAAAATTAATTAATTAAACCATTTTCTCTCATTGGGGTTAGAGAAGTTCTAGAAGTAAATGTTATTATCAGTGTTGGATCCATGATGCTAAACGTGGCTGCTCATGTGAACAGGGTTAAGCCACTGACTCCTGGGCCTCGCCGGTGGCACAGCAGGTTAAGTGCAGCGCTGTGAAGCTGTCCGCAGCCTCTGCAGTGCTGGTTCAATTTCCGGCTGGCCAGGGAGATTCCAACATGGTGAGGCAGACCTCTCCTGTCTTGCCCTCTGCTCCCCTCAGCAGTGTACTTCGGTCCTTCTGCCTGCTCTGCTCCCTGCTCTGTCTCTGGTGAATTCTCTCACCCTCCCATGCCTCTGGCCTGTACCCCAGTTCTTGCGTAAATAAATAAATCTTAAAAAAACCAAACCACTGAATCCTGCATTATACTGGAAACTTGAAATGTGCTAATATGATCCTATATTATGACTGCAAGTCCTCTCAAATATGGCAAATTCCAAATGTATACCATTTGTATTTCTGCAGGTCAAATTCAATAAAATTTGACCTAAATACAAGATGAAATGAGGCACAATTTATAAAATGCAGAGATGAAAACCCAGACAGCTGTGCTGAACTAGAAACCACCAAAGTCAAAAGAAGTCTTAAAAGGAGCTCTAGAGAAAGGACAGATCAAATCAACAGAAATTGGACTGACAGCAGAGGTTTTTGCAGCAAACAGTGGCAGCAAGAAGGTAAAATATATTCAGTTCTGAGGGGAAATCACTGTTAAACTGGAATTATGAACCCAGCAAAACTATCTTCTGAGAAAAAGGGTGAAATAAGAACAGATTTATCGTCTGGAGGAATTTGTTTTCAAGTTACATTTCTTCTTTATATAAAACTGGTAGCTTCATTTTAGCCTGGAATTTTCTTCACTGGAAGTTTTCATTTCCATATTCAATTTTTAAAATAAAAATAGGACTTTCAATTCTTCTTGTGTAACAACAAGATAGCTGTGTGTTTCAGGGAATTTTCAAATTTCATTTAACATTTCAAATTTATTAGTATATAATTTTTCATAATCTGTGACTAGGTTTTATCGCTTTTTTATTTCTTTTTTTTTTAAAGATTTATTTATTTATTTATAAAAGCATTGGGTACAGTCAGAGGCTCAGGAGGGTGAGAGAATTCACCAGAGCCAGAGCGGAGAGAACAGGCAGACTGACGAAGTACACCACTGAGGGGAGCAGCAGGCGTGGCAGGAGAGGTCTGCCATGCCATGTGGGACCCTCGCCCGGTGGCTGGGGATCGAACCAGCGCTGCAGAGGCTGCGGGCAGCTTCGCAACCCAGTGCTCAACCGCTGCGCCACCAGGGAGGCCCCTGCTTTTTTATTTCTGATGTTATTTGTCTTCTCTCTTTTTACTGTTTAGACTTCTCAACTACTATTTAGACTTGCTCAACCTGTATTTTATTTTTCACTTTTATTTATGTGAATTTAGGTACTCAAGCTTTGTTCTCTTCCACCGATTTTTTTTTTTTTGCTTTAAGTTGCTATTCTCCCTCTAATTTCTTAAGAGAGATGGCCATCTTTCTGCTGTTTGCACATATATTGTCTAACTCAGTAGTTATCTTTGTTTCTTTTCCTCAAAGTTTATTGAATTGCTAGTTGTTTACTTAACTATATAATTTGGGGAGCACAGCCTCACACCTGGATGTGTTCAAGGTCAATCCTTGGATGGGCATATTAGTATCACACAGGCACTCATTAGAAATGCAATTTCTTGAGTCTATTCAGATTTATTAAAATCAGAATTCTGGCAAAGAGGACCCAACAATGTGTATTTTAATGCAGTCATATTTAATAACAGAACAGCATTAATTAGTGTAAATGGTAGACAGTTGGGTTAAAACTAGGTTAAAAACTATACGTTCAGGTGAATAAGTTGTTTTTCTATCAGAGAAAAATATTACTACAGAAATATTTCTGAACTAAATCTAAGAACACCCCAATACCTCCAACACTCCCCCAAAGAGCCACACTTAACATAAAATTACTACTAAAGTAGAATGGCTAAATACAAAGATTTGTAAATCAGTCATGAGGTTTTCTAGAATTTTAATCTACTCTTGTATTTTGTACAGCAAAGAATCATCTTCCTAAATGATGAAAAATTTATTTTCCTCAAGACAATTAGGCGCTGTCTGTGGGTGTTTCTCAAAAATCTGTAGCCATTTAATCAAATTATTTAAAATAAATGTGACTGGGCCTCCCTGGTGGCGTGACGGGTTGCGCGCCTCACTGTGAAGCTGTCCGCAGCCTCTGCAGCGCTGGTTCAATGCCCAGCTGGCCAGGGAGATTCCCACATGGCACAGCAGACCTCTCCTGCCTCGCCCCACTGCTCCCCTCAGCAGTGTCTTCAGTCTGCCTGTCTGTTCTGCTCCCTGCTCTGTCTCTGGTGAATCCTTTCACCCTCCAGCGCCTCTGGCTTGTACCCCAGTTCTCGTATAAGTAAATAAATTTTAAAAAAGAAGCAAAAAATAAAAGTGGATGTCTTAAAAAAAATAAAATAAATGTGACTAAACAAACATTACAAAAGAAAAAAGTCACCATAAACATCACCTCTTTAGAGCTGGAATGTTACTCTTTGCATGGGTCAGTAGCTCCTGAAGTAACATATAAATTCACAAATATAAAGAAAAAAGCAAACATGCGAATCAGATTAGTATTGAACTTCACTTATTGGTATGGATCCTGCTCTATTTTCCAAAAAAGTATTCACGACCAGCAGCACCATATGTATTGCTACCTTGAATTTGAATCTTTGAGAAAAAAGCAATACGTTAGAATAGCAATCCCATGGCATAAAACATTTTGGTCATTTGAATTTTCAAAAAAAAAAAAATCATTGAGGGAAAATTATATTTGGTCTCTCAAAGTCCCAATAAAATCTACAGTAGAAAAAAAAAATGCAATTCACTTATTATCACTGTGATATTGTAGGGTAAATGGTTTTCAGGCTTTCTGCCCTCCCACCATTAGGATTGCCCTGCCTGATGGGGCACCTGCAGTTGTTACATTGTTGCAAACTATCTTATTTACTTCTGTGGGCCATGGGAGAGTACTGAGGTAGTCACCAAGAGAAGCACAAGCAGGAGAGGAGGCAGGAGAGGTAAGTGTGTTGAAGAAGCCAGAGAAGCCAGGAGTGAAGACCTGCTGGGGGCTTGGAGGCCTATCGGCCTCCTGATGCCCCTGGCACCCCTACCTGCTGTCTACCTGGTTGCTACTGTACATGTAAAAAAGCTCAATAAAAGCCTGAGAAACCCACTAAGGGCTCCAGGACTCCTCCTTTACTCAGTCTGCTGGGACTGAAAACCTAGAAAACCGCCTCAGTGGCTATCCTGCCACTACAGCTGTTCAGGGAAAAGTCCTTGTTTGTTTATAAACTTGTATGTTTATTATGAATGATTCTTATCAAGATCTTTTATCAGTATGCCTAAATTCACAACTTTTGAACTTATCAAGAAACCAAGGGAGTTTATACTTTCATAAAGAAAAAAAAATCCAATCAAAAATTTAAATATAATAAATAACATCTCAATTTTTAAACTAAAATAAATCTATAATCTATAAATTGTTCCTAGTTTGACTACAATTGTTGGGATTTGTCAACCAGTCCATAAATAGACTTTTGTTTTTCTTAAATAAGAAATGAAGATTGAGTCATATTTCCCCTTTGATTCATCTTTTTAAAAATCTTCCCTTGAGAAACGCAAATCAAAACCACATTGAGATACCACCTTACACCAGTAAGAATGGCACATACTAAAAAAAAAAAAAAAAAACTAGCAACAACAAATGTTAGCAAGGATGTGGTGAAAAATGAACTCTCCTGCATTGCTGGTGGGAGTGCAAACTGGTCCAGCCACTATGGAAAGCTGTGTGGAGTTTCCTCATTCTACTAAAAATGGAGCTACTGTACAACCCAGCAATCCCAATCCTAGGGATCTACCCAAAGGACACAAAAACATTGATTCACAAGACCACCTGTACTTCGATGTATATTGCAGCACTATTTACAATAGGTAAAACCTGGAAACAACCCAAATGCCCAAAAATAGATAACTGGATCAAGAAGATGTGGCATATATATGTAATGGAATATTACTCAGCAATCAAAAAGATAAACCCATGCCATTTGCAGCAACATGGATGGAGCTAGAAGGAATTATACTCAATGACATAAGTCAGAAGGAAAAGAAAAAATATCAGGTGGTTTCACTTAATAGCAGGAATATAGGGGAACCAAATAAGGCATCAGGGGAAAAAACAATAACAGTACAAAACACAACAAAGCAAAAACAGACAATTATAAATCCGAGACATCCTGCAGGGGAGGAGGAGGGAGAGGGATCAGAGGGAGGGAGGGATGAGCACAGGGGACCGAGGTGATGGTGCACAGGTGCATTGAGGAAGGAAATTCCATGGGGACTACACCTGAGGCGGGGTGGGGTGGGGGGTGCAAATATTGTTTAAAAATGAACAATGATGTAAAAAATAAAAATAATTAAAATTAAAAAAAAAAATCTTCCCTTGAGGACATGCCCAGAAACATGGCAAAGTAAACTCTGCCAGGAAAATATCTACACATAGAGAAAAAATTTTAAAATACTTACCACTGGAGGAGGCCTGATTATCCTGCATCATTAAACACAGGTGGTCAAAGCCAGCAGTATTAGCACTAGAGAAAGGGAGACAAAGTACATAGTCATTACTGCCCTCCATGCCAGAGTGGGTAAGGATCAGGCAGAGATGGGTCCAGATTTGGGGGGCACATGTCTCTAGAACTGCTGCACACTGGGTAGGGGGTCCAAGTTCTCCACCTTCTAAGGCTGGAGGCGGTGGTTGGATTTTTGAATCCCTGTAGATTTCACAGCATGGAGTGAAATTTGGAGGTTTCTTCCCAGGTCTGTCTCATTTTCCCAGTACTCTGTGGTTTGTAGATCTTCCTCTGGACTCAGGAGAAAACAGGGGTTGGTGGGAGGATGATCTTAACCTTTGCTTATACTATAACTAGCCCATTCTGGGGATAGCTCTCTCAGGGCTCAATTAGGATGCAACATATTATTTCATATTCACTGCGGAGGTCCCCCATTCCAGTCTGGATACAGGCCCTGTGTCTTTCCCAAGGATTTTCATCTGCCAGAATGACTGCCACTCTCCAAGGCTGCCTTCCTGTATCCCTGTTGCAAAATCTTGGTGAGTAACAGAGCACGCCCCTCAGAGAGAAAGATGCATGGGTTGACTCAATGATGGTGACAATGAACTGATGTGGTATACATGGAGCTATGGTTGTTTTTAAGTTACTTTAAGGACAATTCACTTGTAGATAGTCATTCCACCTAGTTTTGGTTCTTCTCATGCTAAGTGTTACTTAAAATCCTGTTGTGATCTGTGAATTAATTTTTCCAAGATGGATGGACAAATGCATTAACTATTGATTTGTTATTCAAAAGAACTTTTTAACTTGCAATTAAAAAAAATTAAATACAAGACTGTAGCATGTTACTAAACTTGCCAGGCTTATTTCTTTTTAAATCAAACACATTATTTGTAAATAAATAGAGATATGAGACAGGGAATAAAACCATTCATTTTTTTATAGTGGAAAGATGACTACATTTGGAATTAGAATAACTTCCTTCTATTTTTGAGCAAGTTCTTAAAACTTTCTGGCCCTTAGAATCCTTATCTGTAAAATTGGAATAAGGATATGAGAAAATACATGTGAAAAATGTCTTAGGAACTATAAATTGATATGAAAATAAAAGTTATTTTTGATATACTATGTTAAAGCTGTCTTGGTATTCATACGTTATTTTAAAAATACTATTTACTACATTATAATGCATAATCATTAATATATGACATTACTTTAAAAATTTCTAGCTATCTCTGAAGACTTTTTATCTCATTTATGTGGGTTTATTTTTTATACTAATCAAACAGTGATAGAATAATTTTTGCTTATTTGAATATATTTGAGTTAAAGGGAATTTAAGAAGAAAATATAACAAAGTCAAACCTTTTCCACTTTAATAAATAAATTCTTAAGAAGTACCTTAGCTTATCTTCACTCAATTTTTTTCAGTGCTAAAAATTGTTCAAAATATTCAATACCCAGGGATGAATATGACACAATTCCCATCATAGTTGATCTCACAGTGCAATACAAGTGACAAACATACAGTTATAATAACCACAGAAGTTACAAACACAGTTTAATAGCGAAAGGTCTACTTTTCCTTTACTCTATTGAAATGTAGGTAAAGAAACATTGATTCATTGATTTGCAAAATATTGTATTGCTACATGACTATTCCATGCAAGTTTCAACTTCTACAGTGAGTCTGTGCAGCAGCAAATGAACAAAGCATGATGACAATAGATTTAGAAAAGAGGTTTGGTTTGGGAAATTAACTAACATGCAGCCAATCTTACCTACCCATTCTTCAAAGGACATATGCCAACTATCTATATATGATGTATCCATACTTCCCTGAATATTCAGAATTTATAAAGAGTAAAATAAATTGAAATAGTTACCATAGGATATATAATAAAAATTTCAATTTTGGGTTGATGAAGATATAAAAGCCATATGTTTCCTCATCATTTTAAAAATATATTTTTTGATAACAAAATTCTTTCTAAATGAAAGAAACTAAATAGCTTTGGTATTTTATCTCAGTTTTGTTTTGCTAACAATTGGTAAAATAGTATTGACATCATGAGCTTGCTCTTTGCATATTAAATGAAAATGGTGATCTGATCACCTTATTTTGATATATATGCGAACAGGAATAGTTAGTGATAAAATGCCTTAATTCACTGAAGATATAAATGGTGAAAATAACATGTGTAAAAAATAATATGCTATGTGTGCAAAAATTACTCTGTATTTCTTGTGACATAAGCAGAGAAAAATGTTTTGATTTAAAAATCTGTCAGCTATCGTGTAATTTAATATGTAGTAACATATACTGCTAAAAGGTATATATTAACTTTAAAGGCCCAAACTCCAGTGATTAATATTATAGTGATGACAGAATGAGAGTGCCTAATTTTAATCCACTATTTATCTATGTGGGGTAATTTATAGATCACTCGACATGTTTTAATTGTAGACATAAAAAAAATCCTCTAATACCTCCTTACTTTCAAGATCCGACATTTGCAATTACAAATACACAGAAATACTAAATGTTGCCTTCATTGGACATGTATACAAATAGCTAATCATCCCATACACAGTTTATAAAAAGTCATCTATTAATATCATAACTGTTCCAAAGACCAAGAATCTCTTAATATTCTATTTGAATATCAAGCATTGAGTTAAAATGAGGGCAGAAACAAAAAAAAAAAAGTGGACAACACATTGATTTGCCTGCCAAATATAGTTTTACCATCATAAATCTCAGGCTGACAACTGCACAAAGCTTTCTTCATCCAAACACTGCCAAGTAAGGGTGCTTATTCACTGATTGGCTGATAGTTGCCATGACAACTGATGCCACAATTAGACAAGTACAATCCCACTTTCAAGCATGCAAACAATTCATTAATGTACCAGGACTTTGTTGATGATACATTATGAGGGAAATATTTAATACTATTCAGAGACTGATATATTTGCCTCTTACGTGGGGTAAAATAAATTATAAGAAGTGATGAACACAACCATTTAATTATACTAAATTAAGTCTGACAAGCAACTCAGTGAATTTCAGTGCTTTTAATAACTTTGTATGTGACCCATTCTCTCAACTGAGTAACTATAGAGTTAGTCTTCAAGTTATTTTCCTATGAGCCCTTTTAGAAAAAGGTTGGAAAGAATGTGAGTCTGATTTTCTACATAACTAAATAAGATAACAAAAAATGTTTCTTTGTCACTTGAGAGGAAATAATTTTACTCAATGTTGAGTGATTATTAAATTTAACAGATATTCATCTATGAACATTGTGAAAAGTCACTTGCTTATCCTTTGTCTACAATGAAACCATATTTACCATATTTCCTATGACAGACTCCACACATTCAGAATCTGAGTATAAAAAAGAATAGACTAATGAGGAGTCTAATACAAGTGAAGATTGTATTTTTCAACTTTTAGTTAACTTTATTGCAGCCAGTCTTATAAACTAAATTACTGAAAGTGGAATGCTAAAATTTCTTAATTCATTTCCTTTTACCATGATCCAATAGACTACTGAAAAAAGGATCATGATATTAAAAATCAAGGCAGCAAAGAGCTGTTTAATATGATCTCATTTTATTATATATATACACCATCTATATCAGACAAAATCTCTGTGTATGTATGTGTGTGTGTAAGATAGCTAAAAACACTAGAAGATCTTATTTTCTTTTTAAAATTGTATTGTCTAAACTATTGTTAATAATTTTGAAATTACTGTCTTCTTCATTTATAGCCTAAATAAATTTAATTTGGTAGCTATTAAAATACATATTCAGATTTTTTTTTTAAGTTTTTTTTTTTTTTTTAAAGATTTATTTATTTATTTATTTATACAAGCACTGGGTACAGTCAGAAGCACGGAAGGGTGAGAGAATTCACTGGAGCCAGGCTGGGAGCAAAACAGGCAGACTGATGAAGTACACTGCTGAGAGGAGCAGTGGGTGCAGCAGGAGAGGTCTGCGCGCCATGTGGGACCCTCACTTGTGGCCGGGGATCTAACCAGCGCTGCAGAGGCTGCAGGCATCTTCGCAGCCCAGCGCTCAACTACTGCGCCACTGGGGAGGCCCAGATTTTTTTTTTTAAAGATTCATTTATTTTTTTTATTTTTATACAAGAACGGGGTACAGGCCCGATGCGCAGGAGGGTGAGAGGATTCACCAGAGACAGAATGGGGAACAGAACAGGCAGACTGATGAAATACACTGCTGAGGGGAGCAGTGGGCGTGACAGGAGAGGTCTGCCATGCCATGTGGAACCCTTGCCGGCCGGCCGGGATCGAACTGGCACTGCAGAGGCTGTGGACAGCTTCACAGCACGGTGCTCAACCACCTGCGCCACCAGGGAAGCCCTCATATTCAGATTATATGTGAAATATTTACCATGATTATCTATGGATAGTGGGATTGTTTTTTTCCCCCCTTCTTTTTACTTTTTAAACAAAGAAAAGTGTTTATTTTATGAAGTGTTATTATGTTATAATCAATGAAAATGAATGATAAAACATGAGTAAATGAGATATTTGTGTTTTACATTCTATGTATAACCCTAACCTTTATTAGAACCAAAAAAAGACACAGTCTCTGTCTTCAATATCATTCCAATTTAATGGAGAAACAAAATGTAAGTATGAAAAATTATAACACATACTGTGAAGAATACAGACAGTGATTATACAGCTGTTCAGAATAATTACCATATAACTTTTTGAAGATATGCATTTGTCATATTTATACTTCCATTTTTGTTAGTTGAAAGAGAATTATTTCAGCCATGTATACTCTGTATATCTATTTTTAGTATCTACCAAAATTGAACTTATTTAGATGATTAAAAGATAAAACAGTGGGGAGCAGCAAGAAGGTGGCAGAGGAAAGAAACCAGGCTTCCCTCCTTTTCAGACTCACAGCTAGATTGCAGAACAAAATCAGTAACTCCTAAGGAAAATCAGACAATAACAACACACATCAGGTACAGCGTCTGGAGAAGGGGCTCTAGAGACAACGGAGCAGGCCAATTGGTCGGTGCAGGTGGGCGAAGTGACACTGTGTCCAGGGGATCCTGCAAGTAGCAGAGCATGACTGGCAAATGGTTCCAGCACAATAGGCCCCTGCAGAACCAATGAGTCAACCTCAGGAGAGGACCTAGAAATCTGTGAAGTAGGCCTTGCCAAAGGGCACTAAAAGGATAAGCACTAGAGAGGCAACCATAGAACCTGGTCTACACTTTCACTCAAAGACCAGTGAGCTAGAGGAGTGGGATTGACTATCCTTGCACAGTGGTAACCACTGCAGACTACAATAAGGTTGACACCAAGGAGATTCATGAAAAAGATGTGGGTGGAGAGAACCACCTGGGGGTAGAGGTGTGGAGTAGGGGCCACTGGAGTAAGTGAGACATGTAAAGAGAGAGACATGTTTAAGGTTTAGTGTGGAAAAGATCCTAGTTTATACCTCTTTGCATCTAATTTGTGTTTTTTTTATTTTATTTTTATATTCCCCATACAATTGCAACCCCCTTATTTTGACCCCAATCTCTCCTTTCCCTGCCCCCCTCCCCAAGTGAGTCTCTGGTTCATAGTTGTTTGTTGATTTTGATTTTTTCTTTCTTATATTCTTTTTCCTGTTCCCTTATTTAGGTTTTCTAGATTCCTGCAATGAGTGAGACCATCCAGTATTTTTTCTTTTTCTTTCTGGCTTATTTCGCTGAGCATGATTCCTTCCAGCTCCATCCATGTTGCTGCAAATTTCATGTGTTTATCTTTTTTGATTGCTGAGTAATATTCCATGGTGTATATGTACCACATCGTCTTGATCCAGTCATCTATTTTTGGGCATTTGGGTTGTTTCCAAAGATTAGCTATTGTAAACAGTGCTGCTATAAACATAGGGGTGCAGGTGCTCTTTGGAATTAATGTTTCTGTGTCCTTTGGATAAATACCTAGGAGTGGAATTGCTGGATCATATGGAAGCTCTATCTTTAGTAGGTTGAGGAATCTCCACACAGCTTTCCATAGTGGTTGGACCAGTTTGCACTCCCACCAGCTTGACTACTACCTCACACCATGCACAAAAACCAACTCCAAATGGATTAAAGAACTAGACATAAGACCCGAAACCATAAAATATATAGAAGGAAATATAGGTGAAACACTGCATGACATGCGCCTCAAAGACATCTTTACAGTACATCACCCAAAGCAATGATAGTGAATGCAAAGATAAACAGCTGGGAATACATCAAATTAAAGAGCTTCTGCACAGCAAAAGAGACAATAACCAAAACAAAGAGAAACCCCACCGACTGGGAGAAAATTTTTACATTCAACACTAATGATAAGGGACTGATCACAAAAATCTAAAGAGCTGATGAGACTCAACAAAAACAAAGAAAATAATCCAGTCAAAAAATGGGCAGAAGAGCTAAAAAGAAACTTCTCTGAAGAGGAAATGCAAATGGCCAACAGGCATATGAACAAATGTTCAACATCACTTGCAATCAGGGAAATGCAAATCAAAACTACCATGAGATACCATCTCACACCAGTGAGAATGGCACATATTAAAAAAACTAGCAACAACAAATGTTGGCGAGGATGTGAAGAAAAAGGAACTCTAATTTGTATTTTAGATGACAAAATCTAACAGCAAGCTACCCAGGATACTCTCTGCTTTTATCTTTCCATGGGATGAGGTCTATCTAAGAGCCATGGGTGTTTTTAAGAGATAGCACTATTTTAATGGAGGCCCTGAGTGCAAGTTGTCCATTTCAGTCCTACCATATTATTACTCAGGGAACGATTACTTGCTGGGTATCACGACTGACATAACATTGCAGGCACAGGAGAAAGAGAGAGAGCACGAGAGAGAGACAGAGAGACAGAGAGACAAAGAGAGTGAGACAGAGAAAGACAGACACAGTGAGACATAGAGACAGACACAGAGACACAGAGGCAGAGGCAGAAAGAGACAGGGAGAATAGAAAGAGCCTTTATCTAGTTGTGACATATGTAAACTAATACTGTGGAAATAACTGTTCATGATATTCATTGTTTAATAGTCACCCAATTTTACTAAATTCAGTGCTATGTATTTTATTTTTTTTATTTTAAACTTCAAGCCAGATAGAAATGTCTGCATATCTTCCAAAAATATAGTGATGTCATTAAAATTACTGGATTGTTGGGCCTCCTGGTGGCACAAAGGGTTAGGATGCAACCTATGATGCTGTCCGCAGCCAATGCAGCATGAGTTTGCTCCCTGGCTAGCCAGGGAACTACCCACATGGCACAGCAGACCTCTCCTGACTCACCCGCTGCTCCCCTCAGCAGTGTACTTCAGTCAATCCTCCTGTTCTGTTCCCCACTCTGTCTCTGGTGAATCCTCTCACCCTCTCCTCCTCTGACTTAAACCCCAGCTCTTGTATATATAAATAAATAAATCTTTAAAAAAATATTGTATTGTTTATTCTGTATGAAATGCACATTCAAAAAGCAATGGGATATTGGTCATACTAAAACTATCTCCAAGAAATATGTATCAATTACAAAATAACTGTAAGTATATTAAAGAGAATTTTCTGCTTCATGTTACTAATGGATATCTGCTTTACACAAATGTAGCACTGGAAAAACGAGTCACCTCTCAGCAAATGAAACACTAGATCTCGTCTGTTCCTAAGGTTCACTCAAACATTTTCACAATATCCTTTGTCAACTAAGGAAGAGGTAAAGATAAAAGGATGGGTAAAGCT